ATCAGGGAGGATGAGGCCCACTTTTAACAGCTGATCTGGAGGTGTGAACACCAAGAGAGGAGAAACTGCTTTTGTAGTTGGCTAGCCATTCACAGTCTTTGTTTAATCCTGAGCTGATGGTGTCAAATTTGCAGATGAACTGCAGCCCAGCAGTTTCTCTCTAAAGTCTGGTCCTGAAGTTTTTTTGCTGCAGGATGGCTACCTTTAAATCTGCTATTGTGTGTCCAGGGAGACTGAAGTGTTCTACAGGTTTTTGTATGTTGCCATTCCTAATATCTGATTTGTGTCCATTTCTTCTTTTACGTAGGGACTGTCCAGTTTGGCCAATGTATACAGCAGAAGGGCATTGCTGGCACATGATGGCGTATATTACATTGGTAGGTGTGCAGGTGAATGAACCAGTGATGGTGTGGCTGATCCGGTTAGGTCCTGTGATGGTGTCGCTGGTGTAGATATGTGGGCAGAGTTGGCACCGAGGTTTGTTGCATGGATTGGTTCCTGAGTTAGAATTACTGTGGTGTGGTGTATAGTTGCTGGTGAGAATATGCTTCAGGTTGGCTGTGAGCGAGGACTGACCTGCCTCCCAAGGCCTGTGAAATGAGGGATTGTTGTCCAGGAAGGGTTGTAGATTACTGATGATGTGTTGGAGAGGTTTTAACTGAGGACTGTAGGTGATGGCCAGTGCTGTTCTGTTCGTTTATTTTTTGGGCTTGTCCCGCAGCAGGAGGCTTCTGGGTACACATCTGGCTCTGTTTCCTTACTTCCACACCTGAAGCATATTCTCATCAGCAACTATACGTGAGCTATATACATTGGCCAAACTGGACAATCCCTATGCAAAAGAAGAAATGGACACAAATCAGATATTAGGAATGGCAATGTACAAAAACCTGTAGGAGAACACTTCAATCTCCCTGGACACACAATAGCAGATTTAAACTGCTGGGCTGCAGGTCATCTGCAAATTTGACACCATGAGCTCAGGATTAAACAAAGACTGTGAATGGCTAGCCAATTACAAAAGCAGTTTCTCCTCCCTTGGTGTTCACACCTCCAGATCAGCTGCTAGAAGTGGGCCTCATCCTCCCTGTTTGAATTAACCTAGCCTGATTCTTGCCTGCATATTTATACCTGCCTCTGGAAATTTCCACTACATGCATCTGACCAAGTGGATCTTTGCCCATGAATGCTTATGCTCCAATACATCTGTTAATCTATAAAGTGCCACAGGACTCCTTGTTGCTTTTGCAGAGCCAGACTGACACGGCTACCCCTCTGATACTTCATCCTGAAAGACGTTTTACTGTTTAGGGTGAGCAAGGAAGCAAAGGACAGTCTTTTACTAGACTGCATGTTCCATTCAGGACTATAGGTGGATTGTCTTGCACAGCAATGGTCCCTACCCCAATGCTGATGCACAGTGGCGAGGGAATGTTAGCCTCCAGGGGTCAAAGACCCCATTTGCTTTGACAGCTAATTTGAGAAGGGTAGCACAGGAGCTGCATGATACTTTCAATAAGATTGGAAGGCAGATTTGGAAGATGTAAAATATTGCATCAACACTCTGTTCGCCATCTGCCAAACCCTCTGCTGGTAGCAGCATCACACATAACCAAGCCTTTCTGTAATCCTCCCACTGCCTATTAGTGTTCTCCTCTGTCTTTGTGTCCCTCTCAGCACACTGTGCCCCTTTTCAGCATCCTGTTTCAGTCAAATGTTGGATGGTCCCTGAGCCCTCGAGGTATCCACAGGGGGTCTTCAGTATACAGGTACCAAAGAATCAGAGCCACCTTGCTCCACTTCCCCTGCCACTGATGGGGAATGCAAGGGGGCCATACCCCTCCTGCAGGCTCTGCCCTCCCCCCCACACATAGTCCCTACTCTTGCTGCCCCCTGTCATCTACAGCTTTTGGGGGTGGGACTTGTGGCCAATTATGCTCTCCCAGGCATCACTCTTGTCAGGAATTGCTATCTAGAAGAGCTCATCTAATTCTGCTAGGAATGATTTTGGATGATAGAGGCTGAGAGCGCAGGCCAGGTGTGGTGTTGCATAGTGAAGCAGAAAACAGCACCAAGGTTGTGAGTGAAGAGAATTGTCCAGATTATACCTGGGATGTCACCATATGCATTCAAGTTCTTCAGCATCTCTCATGTTGCAATGCCCCCATAGTTATCACACATATCCTGTTTCATACTGCTGTATTAGCGGAATTCAAGTAGCCCACTGCACATTCCATTAATCCAGTGCTGGGATGTCCAACCTGTGGCACAGAGGCTGTCATGAAGCTACCTAGCAAGCTCAGCTGGACCCAAAGGACTGTGCTTCCTTATTAGGCAGCGGAGCCAGCAGCCTTGCAGAAGGCTGCTCATGTGTGCCATGGACACAGCTGCACTTACCCTGCTTTCACTACCTGACCCAGCTATTGATCCAGCCTGCCTCCAGTCCTCACACCAAATCCTGTGCCTGGCTTGTTCCCAACCCTGTGGCAACCTCAGCATTTCTGCTCCCTAAGACCCCAGTTTGCTGCTCAGCTGAGGCTTAGGGGTCTGACCTTCCGCTTGTCCCTTTGACCCTGACTCTAGCTTCACCCTGAAGCACACTCCTGGCTTTATGTTCGTCATTCCCCTCACTGCTGCGGCCAAGCAACGTGCTGAGCCCCGCGTCCCAGCACCGATGGCCCGCCAAGCTCCAGCCATTTAGAATCCCAGGGCTGGCAGAGCCTCAGGAGTCCTCCAGCCCCGCCCCCTGCCCAAGGCAGGACCAACCCAACTGCATCAGCCTGGCCAGGGCCTTGTCAAACCCGGACTTAAACACCCCTGGGGAGAGAGACCCCCCCACCCAGCGCGTTTCCCCCCCCCGGGAACCCAGCCCAGCA